CCACTGTTGTGTGTGTGTGTGTTTTTATGTCACTATCATGCTGCTTTGATTACTATAGCTTTGCAGTAGATTTTCATATCAGTTAGTGTGATGCTTCCGGGTTCATTAAGATTGCTTTGGCTATTTGGGGTCTTCTGTGGTTTCATACAAATTTTAGAGGTATTTTTTTCTATTTCTATGAAAAAATGACATTAGAGGTTGATAGAGATCATACTGAATCTGCACCTCGCTTTGGGTAGTACTGATATTTTAATAATACGAATTCTTCCAAATCCATGAACATGGGATATCTTTGCATTTACTTCTGTCAGAAGGACTCTCTTGAAGGAAGCAGTGCCTTCTTTTACATTTTGGCACAAGCTCCCTAACTTGTCACAGAGATCAGGACTTTTGAGTAGCACAGCCTATATCTAAAGTATTTGTCTTAAAACTTCAGGCTAGGTGCGGTGCCTCACGCCTGTAATCCCAGTACTTTGGGAGGCCGAGGCGGGTGGATCACGAGGTCAGGAGATCGAGACCATTCTGGCTGACATGGTGAAACCCCGTCTCTACTGAAAAATACAAAAAAAAAATTAGCCGGGCATGGTGGTGGGCGAGTGTAGTCCCAGCTACTCGGGAGGCTGAGGCAGGAGAATGGCGTGAACCCAGGAGGCAGAGTTTGCAGTGAGCCGAGATTGTGCCACTGCATTCCAGCCTAGGTGACAGAGCAAGACTCCGTCTCAAAAAAAAAAAACAACAAAAAAACTTCAATACATGACTTAAATATAAGTGCATATTTTTAGAGATCATAATTAAATTTAATTCTTGAATATTAGCACTTAATGAGTATCAACTACACAGACACAATTTGATTAGGCATTTTGAGATGGGTTAAGGAAGAGACTTAGGAGTTATTTGGGAGGCTGGGGTGGAGGGATGTAGATGGATAGTGAATGTGGTTATTACCTGCACTTTGGAAGTTTACAATCTAACGGAAAATGAAATATTCAAATATCCTTGGAGTAAAATGAGTTATAATTGACGATGATATCCTCTAGTTCAACTTCTCAATGAAACTCTGGGGACTAGCTCTCTTTTGTTTTCAAGAATCTCAATGTCACTAAATAAAAACAATGTGATTCTCTCCTCAATGGAGCAAGAGAGAGAGCAAGGCCTGGAATCAGGGACAGATACTCTGACCATAAAGAGTGGAGGAATCTTCTCTTGAAAAGCTCTCCACATCTCTGTAAAATCACATCAAAATCAAGTAAGTTTTGTCTGAATAAACTTTAGGCGTTGTTTCAGGAAAAGTTTGCTTTCTACTGCTTTCTTGGGGAATTCTTAAATTTGAAATAAGAAATTGCTTGAGATTTCTTTAGTTAATTTCATTTTTGGTCCTACTACAAGTATTTTCAGAAATGGAACCATAGTAACTGGAAAGGAAATAATGTTATCCAGAAAAAAAGAAAGGGCACAAGCTCTAAGGCAACTAAGTTGTCTTAAAACTTCAGGCCGGGTGCAGTGGCTGACGCCTTAGTTGCTCTAAGGCAACTAAGGTGAATATTTAAAAAGATACGCTCTGACAAGCAAGAATTTTCAGTTCTATAAATTAGAGAAGGCGGCACAACAACAGGAGGATCAAGTAACCAAATATAAATATAAATTAGTAGCACAGATTTATAAGCACATTAGAGGGGCTAAAATGATTAAACTAGAGGAGGCTTCTGAATATTAGAACTAATACAAAAGTTTTAAAGTGGAATTGCAAGCACAAAAAGTTAAGGAAAAGTAAGGGCCCGTATCTGGGGGCAGATGGTGTAATGTTAACAGATGGCAATAAATACTAATTGCTTAATTCCAATTTTACTTCTATTGCATCTATTAAAGAAAGTTATCTTCACTCAGTGAATGAAAATCCAGACAAAAAAAGGACACACACTATTCTACCTATATAAAGTTCTAAATATGCAAAAAAATCTGTGTTAGAAATCAGAATAATGGTTACCTTTGGGGATAACTAATGCCTAGAAAGAGGCCCTGGGGTATTCTCTTTTTTGATCCAGGAGCTGGTGGTTACACACATGTGTTCACATTACAAATATTCATCAAGCTGGATACTTACAATGTGTGGACTTTTTGTATGTATGTTGTATGTCAACAAAATGTGAAAAAGAAAAAAAGTTTAAAGTGTTAAGACTGGGAAAAACTCACCTTACTTTATTAAGCTAAAGCTTAACTCATCTCTCTGGTCTAAATGACCCAAAGATCTGAAAGAACTTGCAAATATGATTACCAAGGTATTGTTGTGTTCATAAAGGAGTTGACAGGGAACTGGAATTAGCAAGTATTTTTTAAGCTTATGTTAATGTTTATTAATATACAAAATGATCGATGATTACATTAATAGATAATAGACATAAAATAATTCTGTCTCTATCATATTAGCTTTTAATCCATTGATGAATGAAATAAAACAATGATCTTCCTTGTTAATTTTCTAATTTTGGAGCTACTGGGCTAATTACATAGAAAATATTCTACTGAACTTTTTGAAATTTAAGTACATAATACAACTCTTAGTATTTTCAAAATTTAATTTTAAAAAGGGGATGGGGAAAGGGTACAGGAGAATGGATGTCAGGAACTATATACTATACCAATAAGCATGACACTGATTGGCAAAAATTCAAAATATGGCTATTTATTAAACATTTAGAAAAAATAAGCTAATTCCAATTTATCCTACAGGTTTCAGCTTAAATGTTATTTCTTCAGACAAATCACCTTTGAATGTCCAATTTTTAAAAAACCTCACTCTGTTAACTTTCATGGCTATTTTTCCTCCATGGCATCATTCACAATTTGTAAGGATATATTTGGTTATGTGATTATTTATCTAGTGTTCATCTCCATGAGACAATTGCTCAAATGGTAATGCTTGGTTGAATAACTAAACGCATTTCTGATGAAGACCTTATAAATGTAGTTAAAATGGGCTTCTGGCAATACTGTTTTAAAACTTTACAGATTTGAAGAGCTACCTAGCCAGTGTATGAAGCAAAGCATGTATTTAAAATAATTATTAAATAATAAATGCACAAGTCTATTTCTAGTGACTCTAAGAGAAGGTGTACTTTCAGAATCAAGACCTCCTTCCTTCTCCCTACAACTGAAAAGTTTCAAGATGGTAATTTTTTTTATTTGATTTATTTATTTTTTTTTTTTGAGACAGAGTCTTGCTCTGTCACCTAGGCTGGAGTGCAGTAGCATGATCTTGGCTCACTGCAGCCTCTGCCTCCAAGGTTCAAGCAATTCTTCAGCCTCAGCCTCCTGAGTAGCTGTAACTATAGGTGCATGCCACCACACCCAACTA